ATCAAAATTTTTGAAATCGTTCTTATTCTTCTCATAGATTACTTCCCTTAGTTTTGAAATACTCATTCCTGCCTGGCTTCAACTTGAAAGGAGCTCCTAACTTCGGTACCCACCACAAAACAAAATGCCATGATATCGGTGATATACCTGCAAACGCGTAAATCGAGAGTTAAAACGGGATTTAAAACAGATTTCCAGTAAGTACAAATAAAGACCTTGTTAAAGGACCCATTCATTTTTGTATATAAGTCCAGTCTTCTGTTTACATAATCTTTAGTGAAAATACTAAACGAACGAAAACTTACATATTCTAGCTAAAAACAGGTGATCTTCACTACTACGTCACGATTGATGAACTGTTAGTACGCCTGTGCGACATAAGATTTTTTTTCTTACTGCGACCACCGAAGCCGTGTAGTATTTTCTTCGAGCCAACTCGTTGAAGTATCGCAGTTAAAAGAAGCGTTGGCGAATAGTTATTGAAATGAAGTATACTTTTTTTCGGTGTTCATTTACGAGAAAACGACTTCAGGGCTCGCAAGCGAATGTCATTTTTCGTACAGACTTCTGAGGATCTTTCTAGCATAAACATAAATTTCGGCGGGTTTTACTATAACTGATAATACACATTTTGTTTTATCCAGTATATTGATGATTGGGACAATGAAACCGAACCATGGAGTGGGATAATGTGTATTAGTAGTGTAGACAAGCAAAAAACTACAGACATTAGTATAGAAACGCCATTTCACTTTGTATGTATTATCGAATCTTGTAATTTATTTTTACATCAATAAATCAGTAATTCCGATGAGGATATTACCTCGTTTTTTTATCTATGCTAATGAACTTTTGAATATATTTAAAAAATGGCAAATACACAATTTATTGATTCATTAAGAGAATTAAATGCTAATCTCTTAATTGAGATTGTCGAGCTTAGAAAGGAGAATGCCAAGATCCTGAACTTGAAAAGAAATTTGCCGAGGTTGAGGCTGAGAATGCGAAGTTGAAGCAAATTATTGAGGAGAATGCGATGCGTGATGCTAGAGTCAAGGAACTAGAACAAAAGAATACAGAGCTTGAAGCTAGACTTGCGATATTGGAACAGGCCTCCTTGGTTGTGGATGGTCAGAGGCAGAAAGATAAGGAAGCGATACCAGAGGTGTGGTTATCTATAGATAATTCGGTATCAACTGTCGATTTATCCAACTCTGTAGTGGACCAACAAAATAATGCTGACACTAAGTCAATGGAAGAGATACCAAAGGTATCAGATAAGGAAATAGATGATTTTATTCCCGAAGAACCGATACCAAAGGTGTCACCTGTTAATTTGCCTCAGCCTTGTCAAAGATATCCATAATCATTGGAAGAAAAGGAGATGGATTCTTTCTTGGATTCGGAAAACAAGAAAATAGTTAGTAATCTGATGAGAGGGGGGAATAGGGAAAAGAAACTATTACAGAGTAATGAAGCTTCCGCTTCTCGAACTCAAGAGCCTCTGGTAATGCCTCCAACATCTTCTAAGAGGAAAGCTCAATGCTTGAAGCATCAAACGTTTACAGTTCGCCCGAGATAGAGAAAGAAAACAGAATGAAACGAATGTGGAGCACTCAGCGAATGTTGTTTCTGATGATAGCAATTCTCGGTCAATATGTGACGAAAAAATAAAAATTCCATACAATCAGAAAGTGGAGCAAGGTTTGAGACATGAGTTATCCGTTTTTACCAAGAATGATATCGAAAAATATTGCTCATTTGATATTCAAATTCCCGAATTCCCTCTTGAGACGATTTTAATGGGATCTAATAAAATTATGACACAAAGTATAGCTGATTTATTTAACGTAACAATAAAGGTCAGGCAAAAGGAGAATCTATGTTGGTATTGTTTCTATAAAGCATATGAGGATCGGGTTGGAGACTGTAAAGCTATGAAAAATATCGATGACCAATTAGCGAGAACATTGGTATATAATGAAATTAAATTGCTTCTTCCTGACATTACTGATGTAAACTTACGTCAGAAAATCTTCATGGCCAAAAAAATTACACACTATTTACAGAGATAAGGACAGATAAGATCAAACGAATTACCTATAGCACGTATGCTATTTCATGTCTAGCTGATGTTCAAATTCAGGGTATTATAAGTAGTTTTTCCAAAAATCCTGCTGATACGGATGAATGCCAAAAAGTGATCGGCATTACGAAAAGTAACGCGCACGTGACAGAACCTTCTAATGTATCAAATAATGAGACAAACACATTATCATCCACTCCCTCTATTCAGTCATCACATACCTCTAATTTAGAAGAAACTTTACCGGAAACTGAGATAAGCGCATTACCTGAAAATGTTTCACTGAGAGAGAAAACTAAAGAAATTCTTATTAGAAATAAATTGGATATTGATGCTCTTATTCTTCTCTTGCAACAGAAGTTCAAATTGTCAAAGAAAATGGAGGGATGATATCATCTTCGAATTCTGAGATAATTCCAAATACTGGAAGAAAGAACGAGAAAGTATGCCCAAAGCGGATTTCTTAAATCACAAGAAAAACTTTGAGGCAAAAATGGGCGTTCCTACTACTCCACATAAAAAGGAATTAAAAAAGCATTATTCAATATTCACCGAATATGTGTAGACTCTTTTGGTCATTACTTTGCAATAAGTTTAACTAAGTGAGGATGCTATCGCATCTAAATTTGAAAAAAGATTAGAATAATTATCCGATCAGAGATATAATATATTGATAGCCTATCTTTCTTCTTTTTGAGCATTGAAGAAAAAAAGTATTTTGACGTATGGTAACCGAGGAAACATCCAGAGATTCAACTACCTTCACGAGCAAATGTAACGACCTTGAGGCATTTTCGTTAAATTACCTACGAAGTCAAAATATTTTACAGATCTCTGATAATGAGCATATACCAAAACTCTCTCCGTGTAATCTCTGTAATAAATCTATATTTAGCTTCCGATTCGAAGTATTTACAACACTAACATGTGAACACCTATTCCATTGAATATGCCTTGAAATACATATCATTCAGGGTACGACAAAATATTCAACATGTCCTACTTGTAAAACTGATATTGAGATTTTAAAGAAATCGCACTTGCTTCTGGTGAATGTTTTGTGATATCTAAAAGTTATGATAAGGGGCAGGCTTCATAACAGTCTAACGTAACCATAGAGGATGATGAAGGTGAATTGGAGATTATACGAAATATAGAGTTGATAGAAGAGGACTCCGTTCCAGCTGAGCAAGTCAGTAAGAAGGATCAAATAATAATCCCTATTGCAGATAATTCTATCTCCATGCAAGATCAGGCTACAAATTCCATTATAAATAAAGATAACAATGTTTTGCAAGAGAATTTCAAAAATCAAACTAATGAAAATAATGAGAGTAATACCAATGTATATGTTACACAAGATTCTATAAAGCAGTTAAAACTCTCCAATTCTAAGGATCAGATCAATGATATGACAAAAACCCGTTCATCGAGACAATCATCTCCAAAAATTGACTGTGATCAAGATAAATTGGAAGGTTTATTACAAGAGCTGTTCACATCAATCAAAGGAGAGACTAACAAAAATGAGAATGATGAGGGTTCTGAGACTTCAATATCGCAGAGTTTAGCCTGATTATATCAAAAAGCATGTAAAGCAGAAACGCGCACGATAAATGTCAATCAGGAGAAAATTTCGTGCTGATATCATTATGAGAAAGGGTATGAAGAGAGGGTGGAGAGTATTATTAATACCCAGAGAAAGGTTAGCGAACAATCAGCTAGAAACCTAGTTTATGATGAAACGATACAACATCTTCCCAGAGGTTTTAATAAGGATTCTTTACGTAAGAAAACTCAAAGAGCTATAAAGATTTACAAGTTATTTCAAAAAATAGGAATGAACAAAATTAAGCGAGTTAGATCTTATAGTGCGTATTCTATTTTAACGCTTACTTCTATGCAAATTAAAATAATTGAAGAGTATTTTGATCACGTGTAAGTCTACAAAGTTTCACCTGTGACTTACCATGTGATTACTGCGTCACACTTCATCTTAGTTATAATAATTTCATCTAATATATTAGTATATTCAATAAAATGTGTTCAGACTTTGTTTAATAAAGTTTGCTTATATTAAGCTCTGAAGTTTTTAATCATGTATATGCCTGTCAAAAATAAAGTATAATCACATACGTATCATGTTAGTGACTTTGCTATATAAAAATTGCTCAGATCTGTTAGAACAACACATTATTAGTTACCTCATCTTGATTGAGTAATCGTCATATATAACCCCTTATCAATTATCAATGTTCTTTCCATGTTTTTTTCTGCGAAAGTATATGCTATTCTTCTTGAGTAGGACATCAGCTCGTCGAGTAGTGTTGCTTTTAATTTCTTCGCTTATTAGATAATACAACAAGATCATTATTTTAATTATAGTCAAATCTCTATAGTTATATCTCTCTATAGTTACTTTATTTTGCTTTTTTATTATATAAATATAGTAAAAAAAATATTTCTCTATAGTCACATCCTCTTTATAGTTACCAAATTTTGCTTTTCTGAGAGTAATTACTATAGAAATTTGACTGTATATATAAAATTAATAATTTTATAATTAAAATTCTTGAATTTATATAAAATTTGAACAACTTGATCAGATTAAATCTAAAAAATCTGAAAAAAATATAGGTTAAAATATGTAATATTATCTTCATTTTAATATAAAAATAAAATATTTATTAGTAAAATTGAAAACTTTATATAAAGAAAAAAATCTGTATTTTATTATGTTTATTAATAAATTTTGATACTTTTACATTATTTTTGATTGTCACTATATAATAAATTATATTGAAATCAAAAATAATTATCTAAATTTTTATAAGTAATTTTGGCAAATAATTTGAAATACAATAATAATCAAATATTTTCTTTAAAAATATTTGTTAATAAAATTAAAAAAGTAAATTCTATATTTTTATATAATTTATTAATAAATTTTCATTTTATTTTTTTATTACAATTTGCTTAACAACATGATTTCTTGTTTTTTATAATCCGACTGGATCTATAAAATTTCAAATATAACATTTTTTTAGCAAAAATATTCTGGTATAATTAAATGCAATATTATTAAACTATGTAGATCAAAGCATTGGGTTTTTTAATCAGCTTGTTATGGTGCATATCATCTAAAGTCATCAAATTTTTGTATTTTATAAAATGTATTTACTTCTTTGCAAGAAGTAAATACAAAATTTAATCCGTGAATATGCTCAGAAAGAGCCTATTCTATCATATTCACAGGTTAAATTCTGTATTTACTTCTTAGCAAAAAAGTTTATACATTTTATGAATACAAACTATGACTTTAGATGTTATGCACCATAGTATTTTTATAAAATCCGCGTACATGTACGTATATGGTATGTGTCATGAAATTATTCAAATAAACATGTAACAATTAAAAACAATATCAAGCAACAAAAATGCGAGTTGGTGGATCTTTGATTTTAAAGAATGTTATGAAAACTAAGAAATTTTTGTCTGGCATTATTTAAGAGATATATTTATAATTTATTTTGAATTAAAAATTGATTTTTTTGATACTTTGTTGGATTATTTTAACACTACATAAAAATATTGTATCTTTACTAAAGAAAACGCTTTGTATTTAGAAATAATACTACCAAAATATATTCGATATAGATAATTTCACGTATTCGTATTATCACATTTTATTTTGTCTCCAACTATATTCAAAAACATACTATATTTTGCATCGCAGAAATACCTCCTACCAATGCAATTATTCAAAAACCTAAACGATTCAAAATTAATACAAAAATTGACGACAAATATACCAATATCGAGGCTACCCATTGGATAATACTTCAATAAAATCTTTTTGCCGAAGAACTAATATTATTCTTAGTTAACTGAAATCAAAGAATTTGACTGGAAAAATTTAAAAAATGATTTATTGGATAAAAATTTGAACACTATGAATGAACCAACTATTTGCAGAAGTTTGCTTCGCTTAAGTACAAAAGAACACTGATTTAAGGGTCAAAACAAATATAATTATATTCGCTAAAACGATTGACAATCTAATTTGATAATAGTTTCATTGTTTTGTGATTTCGAATTCATATGTGACGAGTTGAATTATTGAAGGATCTATTCGATGGTTAGTTGAGAATGTTTATGATGCTTCTATCGCTATTTACATTACACAAGAGCCTTGTTCTCTTTAATTAGACTCTAACGCTAATGACCGGAATTTGAGAAAATTACCGACAACAATCTGCTGATTCTGTACTTTTTTCCTCACAAACCATTGTTTTCGAATTTCACCTCATTAATAAAGTTTGGATTCGGTGATAAAGTTGAGCTTACTAATGATTGTATCAACATAGACGAGTTTTTCGAGTGGTTTGTGGTGTAAAAAAAAATATGTACATACGTAGTTAGTATTGATATAATATCAATAGTTCTTATATGAAAAGACTCCAATTCTATCAAATAATTCAAAAAATTGGGAATATTAAACGAAAAACTTTGTCGCTTAAAATATATTGAAAAACTAAGTTTCTTGAGTAACCGATTCTCTAATAAATTTTAAATGTAACTTAAATACAGTAATTTCTCCGTTTTTTGGAAAAGCCAATTCAATTGAGCGAGATTTTTACATCTTGAAAGAATATTATTTTTTAAATTAAATAACAAAGAATAAAATTTTTCGGAAGTATATTAATTACAACCTTATAATATATTTTTTACAGCATGTAAATCTATTGACTAATATGCCTATCGGGTTTTTTTACATGTCTAATGACCTATTAGACTGGCTGGTTTAATGGCAACCCTGTATCTGTGTGGTAAAAACAAAATTGCCTATGAAGTCTTAAAAAGGTTGCTGCAGACAGGTCTGTTGGCGTGTATGGTCTTTCCTCTAGCGATTTATTGTATTAGGAAACTGTACATTTATTTATGTGCTGTGTTTGTTTGTTGGAAAAATAAGATACAAATTACGTACATGTAGTTAGCACATAATAGAAACAATAACGAGAACGACTCAAATTAATTGATTAATGCAAAATAGTTTTTTCTCTACGCAAAAACCTCTTTTCACTTCTATTTCATAGCCTCGCGCAAATAAAATCCACCGATTTTTAATCTCAGATGAGATCGGCATGGCTTAGAGAGTAAAACATGCTAAGCTTTTTTTTATCGTTATGTAAAACGGGAAATAAAGTGGCTTTGGCTTCCTTATCCAGAGAAGAGGCAATGCAAAAGTATTGTTACCATTATTTTCTTGAAAGCCACAAACACATTTATTGTTAATTCGTCTTGATTTATACTAAATTAAACTAGTTTTACCTGCGAAAATTTAGTATATAGAGGTGAATTTGGGTCATTCATTGAAATCATATCAATTTTGGATTTATCTCGATAAAATTTTTCTATATTAATAATGAATAGTTATAAATTCACGTTTCTACTTGCACTTTTTGTATACACGTTACTAATTGTTGCACTACATGAAAATGTAGTAGATGCCTTGGCTATTAAACGACAATCCACAACCTGTGGGGGTAAAAATCTATTTATTTATTGTTGTTATGACTTTTGTTCAAATTTATTTTTTAATTCTCACTCTACACACATAAAAATTCCTTAACATAGATCTTAAAGTAACTTACCCTACAGAAGGCCAAAAATTCAAAAAAGGCCAAAAAATCACGATAAAATTAGAAGCAGGCAAGTCGGGAGTCACCAAACTCGGAGCAGCTGACTTGTATAAAACGAATGGTCTCGTATCCTCTCCATGGAGTGGTACATCCAATTTCGACAGCTCTGGAAAAACGAGCCAAGAAATTCCTTTAACGATTCCTGATGGTGCTGACGTTAAACTCGGGTCTGATTCTACTGCGACCCAATTCATGATTAAGGTTTGGACAACTGTTGCGAATGGATCACGTTGTACGGCATTCAGGTTAGTCAGTGAAATAATTGGGAATTCACGCTGATGGTTTTTGTTTTGATTTTTGCGCTAATAAATAAATATTAATTTTATTAGTCCCAAATTTTTCATTGAAAACTAATTTAAATTATAAGTTACAATTTGTACGGAAAATTTCGTTTTTTAATAAACATTCTTATTTAATCACTGTTCCTTATTGTGTGATCCTCTACAGTTTGGATATTCTACTATCATATAACCACGATAAAAATAAAAGAAAATTATTATGAGATCTCAATAAAGAATCCATACTTCTGTGTTTGCACGAAGATAACCCTCAATTTTTCTATTATATTTGTTTTTTCACATTTAAATTTATGGTAAATAAAAAAAATAAAGAGAAACACGCACTGTCCCAATAACCTCCGGTCAGTTTTATGCCGTGCATCCTATAAGAAAATTTGCACACACGTAATATGTCTGTAAAAAAAGTGTGGAAATATACGAAAAAGTCTGATACGTACGTCTGTAAAAGACATGTAAATCGTGTATGTATACAGTCAAAGTCCTTTACAACAACGGCGCTGTATACATCGGATTCTGCTTATACCATATTGATATCCCAATTTTTAAAACTCCTATACCGAAGTTTATAATATAAGCACTATATAACGGCTCAAAAGTGCCAATCCAATGCGGTCGTTGTAAAGGACTTTGACTGTATATATGCGTACATGTAAAAAGTGACCTTTTACATGTTTAGTATTTCCGTATTTTTGTTACAGGCATGTATCGAAATTCACAGGCGTATTTTTCTTATAGCGATAGAAATCACTTTTAGAAATTCACCAGATATTTGGCGATTGAACGAAATATATTTTAAATGGTGATGTGTTGCTTCAAATGACAGGCTGTTTGGTTAGTAGGAGTAGGAAAGCTTTCACCTGCACAAAGCAGAATAAACTCGTAATTTTAAATAAAGGTGCTGCTGTTCCCACTTAGGTTAATAGCCTTATAATTATGCGATTGCACAATGATTACAGAATTTTCTTTATAATTTCAATCGGGTTGCTTTCAATAAAACCTACAAGAATCGAGAAACGTTGGATATTGTGCAGTTTCAATCCAAGCTTACTGCTCCAATGAACTACATCTATCTTGAATCTGTAGTTATTCTTGCAAGTCACTCGATATCTCTTCATTCTCTTTGATTTCATATGGTATACTAAAATTGCAATCGTTTGGAGTATACAAATAGACGCTTGTAGAACCTAAACATTCGATATAAATTTTAATTAACGTGAAACGATAATATCGATATGATTCATATTTAGAAATAGAAAGTACCTGTCTCAGTTGTAATTGAAAATAGTTTTTGGTAAAGACTCGACTGGTGTAAACTGCGTTTGAGTGGATTTGTTGTTTTTTGCTCGTATTCGTAGGAATGTTTTTTTGTAATTTCATCTTCTTATCAAGTTCATTTAATTCCTGCTTTTCCAATGTAAGACACTCTTTAATTTCTTCATGTATTTCTAAAGAGCTGTAATACTGAAAATGTAAAGTATTCAGTTCCCAGTTACTTTCTACCCAGATAGACCAGGTAAAGTCATCAAGTTCCTTGGCAGTTGGTCTGTTTTCTGGAATAGGATCCCAACATTTTTCAATAATAAACTTGAATAATTTAGTAACATTATTTGGTATCGTAGGTAATGATACTTGACGATGACGAAACGTTTCGTCACGTCAATTTGACGAAACCTTTCGTCACGACCATTTTGAAAATG